TGTTCAGTTTATGGGAGACGAAAAATTGTGCCAGTGACTTACGCAATTTATGTTCGGTGGTATGTGCGATGCTGTTTTCGATTGAGTGACCCAGTAATTGGTCGATTCGGAGCGGGGAAATGTCTTGTTCCCCCGTCATTCAATCAAGCATATCTGATCACCAGCTCAACGTGTTTTACAGATCTGTATCATGTGAAACTGATTTTCTGCATAAGGTTCGCAAATGAGTGCATGGAGAATTCGCGAATAAAAATTCATTCTCCTTTGTTATTTTCCGAATAATTTTTCGTCTGCTGTTGGTTTATCAGAAAGGCAATTCCACCCGGGGAAATGAGTATCATTCACTTTACTCGAATTCTACGAGTCCCGAAAACATTTAAAATTGATCGAAAATTGTCCGGGCGTCCGTGATGCTACCTGACTGAAAAGTCTTGACAAGTGGGTCGGTCGATCGACACAACCAAACCAGATCGTCGTTTCAGAAGTCAGCCGAGCCAATCAAATCGATCAGGCGTGAATATAATCGCTCCTCCACACGTGATAATTCACCTGTCTCGAGCTTTTCCGCTAGCCTCATATATCAGATGACTGGAGTTCAAACCCCAGTACAGCCAAGGATAAGCACAGTTGATGAGCGCTGGTCCAGTGCGTCCCCAATTTGATGTGGACCCAGATGAACAAATAACCCAGGACAGAAGGACGACCGTTCAAACGCGGGTGGTGTGAATGTGAACACTCCAAGTTTCGCAAACATCCAAAATTAATACATGTCACTGTTTGGAGTTTAATGAATGGTTGGCAAATGTTTCGTCACAGTTCAGAGAAAAAATGGTACAGCATTGATGGCGTCTTCCCAAATGGTAATGAAACTACCAAAGTATCAGGAAGGTCAGATTCCTGAATGTAACCGCAGAACGCCAAGAACCCACTGAGACCTTAAACCTCCTCCAAAATCTCAATAGGAAATCCGGTAAGCATCCAGGCCAGTCAGTCATTCAAGCAATTTAGCAAAAGCCGATGAGCGTTCATGCACGACCGAATGTGATCAGCGTTCAGACAAGATCGATGTTGATCGGCGTTCACTAAACGCCTATCAGACAGTCTAGATCGATATCAGAAAGTCACCTTTAAGTAGAGTGGGGCCGCACTTGCATGCACTCACTCGCTTGTTTGGAATAAAGCTGTTGTGTTACCTTGTCAGTGGATTCTCTTCTGGCACCAGGCGCTGGAATGGGAACAGCCATTAGATAGAACACAAAGCCGCATTTTTTAAGCTTGGAGAGAAACTATGGAACTGGTCCAAGTTACTCCTAGTTTTGTTCCAACAGTTTACTCCTCTTCATCCCATTCCTGAGACCCAGTTACAGTGGATGTGAAAAACAAGTGAACGTGTTGATTCGTCAATTTACAGTGATGTTAGCGTATCACCTTTCTTCTTTGCCACGCATTCTGCTGCTTTTAGTGTTGTTACCTGAGAACATGGCCACTGTATGCTTCTCCTATGTCCTTCTTGGACCCATCAGCGAGAGTCTTTCCAATTGGTTTGGGTAGAAACCTGTTGTTAGGCAGGATTCCACACGGATCCCGCTGTACCGCACGTCTTCAGGCGCTGCTACGGCCTATAAGCCTAGCCCGCACGAGATTGGCCAAGAATTCGGGACGCTTGCCGGTCCGGCATCAAGGTGAGATCTGATTGGGCGAAAATCTGGACCCAACAGCCAATCACGACCCAGTACTGGCCAAATGCCGGTTGCCAGTGGCGCATCCAGAACGCGTCAGAATTTCCAGAAGGTTATAACCACCTTAGCTATGTATACGAAGCGCTGTGCAATTGTTCTTGACTTCGTTGTGGACATTAATAGACCCTGTGCATCTTTAGTGGTTGTTTTGACGTGAACGATAGCTTGGGAGACTCAGACCGAGAACTAAGCTGAGGAAACTACCATTACTACATCTGTATAGATCCCCGGGTGCTCGTCGACTTGGTCTATCCACTGACGTACTACACGGTCACCCCTTACTCCGTCGACGCGGTTTTCCAGCCCGTACAGATATTCAGCGATTTGGTTTGCCTGTAGCCCGAAATGACAAATTAAACCTCCGCTTCTGTCTCCGTAAGGCTGCCTCCTCGATTCTCCAGAGGTAAATTGTGCTGCCAGTTTTCTGATATACTATGCTGGGGCTCCATGCGTAGCTGTCCAAAGAACCCAAGGTTTTAGGGTAGTTATGGTGACAGCTCTCCCATCAAGATCTAAATCACTTTAGCACTCGTCTATAAGAGCAACTACGTCCACCCTCACCCCTTGATTTAACCGGCTTATCTGGTTCGGGCCAACCGCTTCAATGATCGGCCGTTGGCATTCAGCCGTCATCGCTTCTCTAATCTTTTACGCTGTCCATCACCTAAAGGGAATGACCCAACCACGCTCACAGTTTTAAGCCCAGCTTCCTTGAAACACAAGTTCAAAGAAACAAATGATTTGAAGGCCAAATGAAGTGACGAGCTACAAATGTACGTGGATCGCCTTCGACGTGACTTGTTCTCTGAACTGGAATAAATCAATAGACCAAAAGTTAGTGGAATACAACCAAACCAGGCAAGCCTCTTAAGCAACATGACGTCCGCGACTGAAGACTGAGTAGGGCTATATCCTGTAAAAGTGCCGGATAGTCGCAATGCTGATCAGCCAATCGTGGCCGAACGTTCACGAGTTCAAACCAGTGACCAGGATTTGAAACTTGCTTGAGGTCACGTGAGGTGTGAACTGGTGATGATTCCCAATAAGAAAGAAACAGCTGTACATTGCTTCTTGGCCTTACAGTTTGAACTGTCTTCAGTTATAGGATAAAATTTCGATTGAAGAACTAGTTTTCGCAGCTCCAATAAATTTGTGGCAGCTTGGAAATACCAAGCGATCGATATAGCCCACTTATTTCGGGATACAATGAAGACACAAACATCTAACCTCAATGGAACCGCTGGAGTCCATCGGTCAGCTTCAGATTGGAAGCGAGCAGCGAAACTGGACGGCTCACCAGAATAGTGCTTCAAGCTGCAGAGCGAACTGCTCGATTTATAGATATGTCACGCAAAACTGTGTGTGTCATCTCGCTCAGTGCATTAGACGCTCGCATTAGGAACAGAAGCATCCTTGGAATTTAAAGCCGTGGAACTATGGTTGCGCGTCGAGCGTCCACCAGCCGATCTGTAAATCTCACTAGTGTCATCCTACGAGATCTGGGTTAGGTGGACAAACTTGTCGGCGCTGTCAGGTCGTTCCCTTGCTTTGATGGGTTAGGACTTGGGCAACTGTCTGGTCGGAAGTGCACGCGGAGTTAAAGCAAAGTCGTGTCATTCTCCCCGGACCTCATACAGTCCCTATTTGACTAACATCTGTTTCGCTATTGTTAGGGTGACACAACAACTCAGCACCGTTTGGTTAATTACCTACACATCTCGGAGGTTTCACAAACGTATCGTCGCTGTGCTAGGTCAGTGTCCCTATCCCTCTGTTTGAGGAAGAGTGTGGTTTATTTCCGCATTCTAAAAATGAATTAAAATGACTGAACACAAACTGTGTTTTCTAAACTATTTGGCTTTTTATCAGCCTGCACCCTGAGCTCGGTAGATCGCACAGAGCAAGCTCACAAAAAAAACACTCGGAAAGCAGTAAGCCAGCACCGCGAAATTCTTGAGACTAACCTCCAGCAATCTTGGCTGGTTGCCGCGATCTTCACAAATGTGGACGACTAACACCCCCATCCACTCAGATTAATGGTCCTAGCTATGTCCCAGACCCCCGTTATGAGATTCATATCCTCACCGACTGTGTTATTTCCCTGTCGTAATCTCCGGACTAGACTTGTACTCCACTGCAAGGATTTAGAAACACATATCGAGATGCATGGAGATTTCATTTACTATCCGCCTTGATTTTTCTTTCTAAAGAACTTTCCGTTCCTTTGTAATGATGCGACATCGCATCCTTTCCGAGGTTTGAATACCTTTGAAACGTGGTTCATCACAAACTGTCAGTGTTTCGCATTCAATCGTCTGGTTGCTAACGAAGAAATGCAGTTAATTAGATGTGTATTTGCACCTTAGAGTATCGATAAAACTTGGTGCCCGTTGACAGTTGGTCCTACTTCAACGGGAATTCCTACCATATTGATCGACAGTCCAACCAAACAAATTGTGTACTGAATGCGATTTCAAATCAATACATCAACGTCCGTATTCCAATGCAGTTTATTAAGAAATAAGATGAATTCTTGAAAGGATAACTATCTCCGGAAACGTATTTTCTACCGAATTCAGGAAATTCTGGTTGGTTGAAAAGTGGGTCGAAAAAATCAACGAAAATCAAAACTTTTTCTTGACAAACCTGTCATCTCATGAGCGGCACTCATTGTCGTATCGGTCATTGTTTACCTAGCAGAGTGCTTGCAACCCATCTAACCGACTGTGTCAAAAGATACCTCCCCAACCTGTCAAGGTTGGTGACAAGCTGGTGCATTGAATGGTTGAACGGGTACGACCGCTAGCGTGCATTCCACGCTGTACGGCAACTTCCATTTTTTTTTTTTTGGGGGGGGGATGCCGAAACAGATTTAAGTTTCGGCAAAGGTGGAGGAATTTGTTCCAGTTTGTGGTTACATTGATACCTTGTCCAGGTGAATGAATGATTCCGATACTGTGCAAGATACTATTCGCAAAACTTAATGATATTTTATACAACAGAAATGTACAACTGTGGAACTTCGTGAAGAACCTGTAAGTCCTCGGAAAATGCACTCATTTGCAAATCGATTTGGTTCTCACGAGAGACTCAACTGAATCTGTCGTTTATGAGTAGTTTCCTTTATGAAAATATACTGCGATATTTCGAATATCGTGCCAACTGAATCATGAGATGGCCTGTGTGCAGCACATTCAGTTGTAGAATATCATAAACGAGAGATTCAGTTGAGTCTCTCGTGAAAACCAAATTGATTTGCAAATGAGTGTATCTCTGGAAAACAGTCCAATTTGGGTTCAAGTAGAACATAAGGTTGACGGAAACTCGGGGACTGTGCCCTACCTGATTAGCCCCAAGAAGGGCGAAACCGGCTGTGGGCTGTTAAAGAGTTTTCAGCAACCTTGTGAGTAGTTTCCTTTATGAAAACCTGTAAGTCTCCTTCAACACTTGAGAAGTAAGTAGATTTAGACCAACCACGGCTTGGACACACACCTTGTTCTGACTGCAAATAGCCTGAGGAACGGAACACTATTTGAATAGCTGAAACGAAGTGCCATCTTAGAAAGTTTGGTTAGTGTACCTCGAACAAATAGTTCCATTCTTTGCTAACCTCACCTTACATGTACACACAGTAAGACTTGAGTATGACTTATTTATGTAGAGGACGTAAAGCAAGCGCCACCACAAGATCCACTTTTTCCCCTAAAAACACAAATGACAAAGGAACACCGTTCAATCGGAAACATTTTCTACCCGGACGAGGAAACTCTATTGGAATTCGTTTAACGCTAGTGAGTGGCAAAGAATGCTTCCAATGTGAAAAGGGTCATCAACTTCGGCATGATATCATCATTATCATCAGCTGTAAGAACCGCGTACTCGTCTTATAGTGGTTGTGGCTGCCACAGTTTCGTTCACCGATGATTCGGGGAGGTGGGGTAGGTAGCTGCGCATTGGAGGCGGGAGGTGATAAATTAGTATGTAAATACAGCACCGTGGGTGAACTGTTAAGCGAATAGATTGGGAAGGGAGCTATGCATTGAAGGCAATAGCTTGGATGTACGAGCGCCATTGATATACCAATTCAATCAAAAGACCTTTGATTTATCCACCCATTCGAGGGTTTCCAAAGCAAATATCTTTTGGTGCTCAAGCGTTGGTGAAATTTACACGGGCTTCCCGCTAGTTGTAAGATAAACGAAAGATTTTTCGGAATAGTTTACTGAACACGAGACTTGATATAATCCTATAAAGTTATCAAACAAAGTAAATGATGAACGTTGTTTGCAGGATCTCGTCATCAGACCAACACATATCGAGCGGGTGAAATGACAGATGGTTCAACAAAACAGTCAGTTTTGACGCCGCAATCAAAAGTGGAGTACAACGTAGGCTATATATATATAAGTATTAAAGTCTACTCTGATTGAACAGAGACTGCTCTAAAGGTGTGCTGAATGACTGAGTGCAAAACCTTGCAGATCATGGCCAAAGCAAGTACGAATCACTTTTGACATCATCCTGCTTGGCCGAGTCACCATTTTGAGTCTGTTTGCAACGTTGTCAAGCGGTTCCTTGGGGCGCATACCAGCATTGCTTGGTGGTAAGTTCCTTCCTACCCCTTGAAACTCACACCGATTTACCACATAACTGATAAATCGTGTTTTAACGAAAATTAAATATTGGTGAACGAATATTTTTACGCGAATTTCATACTTCAAATTTAGTAATGACATTTTTGGGGCGATCATCCTGTTCAAACAAGCGGCGGTTTGCGGCCCTCATATTCTTGAACCGTGCGACCGACTTATCAGGTCTTGGAGATGACTTCCGTACTGCAGGAAGTTAATGGTCTTGATGATATTATCAAAACGAACATGTACCGTCAATTGGTTAATTGTCCATTGCTGGAGATTCCGTTCTGTTAACCTACTTACTTATGAGTAGTGCGTTACGAACATACATTGATCGCGATGTCTTGAATATCGTAACGACTGAAACATCAGACGGTCTGGTGCAGCACATTCAGTTAAAACATCACGTCACGAACAAAAGATTCAGCTGGGTTCCAGGTGAGTCTCTCAAAAAACCAAATTAGTTTGCAAACGAGTGCATTTCGCTACTTGCTAGTTCTTAAGTTTCAAGTCTGAAAAAATGTTGTTCCACGACAAGGCTCAAGGTGTTATTCAGCATGCTTAGCATTGTCTCTATTTTCTTTCCAGAGGTATAGCAAGACAGCGTGGCTTTTCTCTTCCGTAGTAAAAAAAAGTCATAGGAAAGATTGAGAAAAATCTGTTTATTGATACCCCATGTGAGTTCTCTACTATTCGACAAAACAAATTTTCCACTAAATTTTCTGTTTTTTGGAATTGCTCTCTAAGCACCATATCATACCGCGGAAACCCAAGCTTACAATAATCCGGAAACGGATGGCAGTCCACCGTGAACCTGGCAAGAGGGATTTTTCTCGTTGTGCTTTTATGCTACTGAAATCCAGAGAGTAGCTGCAACAGATTGTTGAAGGAGTGACGCCATCCTGGGGGGCCATTGCACCCAACTCTTCGTTCGTGCTCAGTGTATCGCGTTCTACAATCCAGTGAGGCTATATTCCATGCACGTAACTCCATCGATTTCTTAACCAAATTCATGCCAACTTGCCCACATCCACTCCCCATGGTTTCAACGTTCAATCAATGATGACAGCCGAGCAAGATATTACGAAATTACGGGGGTTCCATTGCTTCTAACAAAACGTCTTTTTGCTGGCTTCTGCTTTTTCAAACTGACAAATGAGAACCGCTGCTTGAAAGTCCAGTTAACCGGAAACTGGGATAAGAGGAGATCCAACGCGACTACTTATTAATACGACATTGTCTGCCTCCGAAACGCGTGCGCTTCGGGAGTCAGGCCACCACATGGCTGAGCTTAAGAACTGTGTGACCTTTGAATCACTTAGAGGAGAATAGATTTTTCAAACAAATGTTCGTTCGTGGAAAGGGGAGTTGTTCAATCTTCAGGTCACTACTGGTTGACTGCATGCACGAGCTGAGTACGACTTCGAAAATTTTTTGGCGGAGAAGGATACGACTCTGGTACGGTTACCATAATGCATGTATTCAGGTGGAGTATCCAGCCAACATAGTAATTGTTTCACTTGGGTTGACGTTCGAACTGATGAGGATGAGAACTTCGTCCAGGACTCGAATTTCTAAGTCTCCCTCCTCCAAAAGACGTCAGATGCCTATGACGGACCCATGTAGGCAGTCTCGTGGGAGGAAAAAAACTTGACTAAAATTTCTGGAATGATTGAAAGTGATTCCTTCTGAAAAGATGTTCTCTAGGAAAGAATACCAAGGTGCATTTACCTCCTATCGAGTGACCACAAACTAAAAGTGGCTCCTTCTGGGAGGTAGTTTGCCGTCAAAATACTATTTGAGATACCAACTGGAAGTTGTCCCTAAGTGTTGCTCCGTCCTGATGGTCTCTCTCCATGACATTTTTTCCCTCGAGAAAAGTGAAAAAAGTGCCACCAACTGCAACATTTCCCAGGAGCTAGTAATAACACCTATTTCTTCTAAATATGAAACTATTAGCTAGTTCCGTGAGAATCCCTTCGATGTTCAGGACTTCTTTGGCCTTCACATACAGTTTGTCCCCGGGAGGATGAAGAACAACATCGTATTGCAACATCGTATTGGAAGCCCAGAAGTATTACATTTAAGAGAAAGGAAAACGGTGAAATTGCTTCCAACTGGGAGTTCAGAACACCTGCAGCTAAATTCTACGGATATAATTGCCCTTCCACTAAGAAGTGCCGAAGAAACGAATGATATTGATCTTCACAAATACGTTTATCACCGAAGTACACCTCGTGGGCCGAGTAATAGTGATATATTTTGACGGTTAGCATCTCCTGATGGTCAAACCTCCATAGTGAGATAAGCCAATTACAGAAGCATGATAGCAGTATCTGCAGATCGCCATAACAGAGACCTTCAAAGGCCAGAAAATATACAAAAGATCGGCGTAAAATCGGTGTTACCTGGCCCAATCCAGGTATGATGGGTTTTACTCAGGAACATTAGTCCCCCCCATAAGAGACACTCCCAACGCACATAAAATGTGAGATTTTTTAAAGCTGGTCATTGTTGGTGATGACGGCGAAATGAAGAGGTATACGGTCTAGGAGGTTACACAAACAGATCAGCTTGCATCTAGTCTGTGCGCCGAGCTCACAGCCTGTAGTCTCTCTGACTCTGCTGGAGGCCCATGAGCTTTGGGCCAAAAGATAGCCTCTGATACCAGTCTAGCTGGCGTTTATGAAGACTTTCATGGTGAGGATGTTTGTGTACGATGGACGTGTTCCTCGTGACGAGATAATTATTGGCCACAATACTGATACATGGATTCAATGCTTCATTGTAGTTTTATCAAAATTTGGGGTAACAGGAGTGTTTATGCTCCCTCTTGCAAAGGCTGACCCTCAGGACTCACAAGGTCATTCCAATGAGCATCAGTGTATGTAACACTTTCTCAACTCAGCCACCTGCTCGCCACCGACTACCTATCTAAATTGACAGTAGGACTGTACAAGCTGTCTGCCCTTCCGAACTCAACTGAATCCCTCGTTTACGATATTCTACAGCAACCTCGTGAATAGTTTCCCTTATGAAAGTATACTGAGATATCTCGAATATCGTGCCAAATGAAACACGATGCAATTTGAGAAATATAATAAAGGAGACACTCAGTTGAGTGTCTCGTGAAAACCAAATTGATTTGCAAATGAGTGTATTTCTCGAAAACACTCCAATTTGGGTTCAAGTAGAACATAACGTTGATGGAAACTGGAGGACTTCTCCTACCTGATGAGCCCCAAGAAGCGTGGGCTGTCGAAGTTTTCAGCAACCTTGTGAGTAGTTTCCTTCATGAAAATATAGAAACTTCTACTGTACATCGTGATTTGTTTGTCCCTGTTTACGTTTTCCCAGGTCAAACGAACACGTAGCTCGGGAGCGCTGCTTGGGTTTTGGTTAGTTCGGCGACCCTGACCGGTGGATTGCAATCGTTTGGTCACCAATCGAGGGGATATAGTCTGCACTTACCCAACCATGTACTGACGATATCTTTCCGGTTGATGACGACACCGATTACCAAGTTAAACGAGCAAACTGACAACCTAAACGATCGTACAAAATCATAAAGCATCTATCTTCATTGAGCTAAGCTAGGAAATAGGAAATGTCATATTCACAACTTATTAGTGAGGAGAGGAGAAATTCGCTGTTGCGTGGCAAAGAACACCGATTTCTCATGATGAAGCGCCCCATACCCTTGAGGAGGGCGCACCGTCAAGAACGGTTGGAATCCCACTGTCTTCCGAAGCGTACTGTTTCGGGGATCGCAAAGTGCTCATTCAATGGTTACAGAGTCGCTTCTCACTGTTCCAGCAGACGTGGGTTAGAAAAACGGAAAAAGCGGCTTTCGCTTTCAAAAGAACGTGGTAGTGGAAGATGCTTTTTCCATCAATCAATTGGATGAAGGTAATTTGGGATGGTATTAGCCTAGAAACGATACCCGGTTAAACCCATGAAAACAACCACATGCCATTGCCAAATTAGAACTTGGTCATGCGTTATTTCTCGTACCTTTCCATCGATCGTTCCTAGTGTCAAACATCATCACCATCGACAGCATGACATCATCAGTGTTCAACACCGATGCTTCACTGCCGTACAACCATGATTTAATTGAAAGCCTTGTTGTAAAGAAAAGAATAAAGGTGGATGGGGAAGGGAATTAGTGCTAGCTTACCACACTCACTCCGAGGTGCCTACACCTCCAGACATTCACCCAGGCAATCTGGATAGAAACTAACGACAAGAACACCACTGACATCGATTGGCAGCCACATATTGTAGTGTCTCCAACCAGGCACAATAAGGATCGCGCGGTCCCCATCCTGGAAGGCGAGTAGCACCGACAGCACTCAAGCGTTTCGTGATCTCCTTCATACTCCTCTGCCAGGTCATGGGTTGGCCACTTCTCTGTTTATGCTAATCTGAGTTGGGCATGAAAAACAGCACTCTCTTCAGCAAACGATGGTTTGGCATACGCAACACATGTCCCAACCAACGCAGCTTCTGGTGCTGGACACATTCTTCAATGGAAGTACCCGTTACACAACTGAAAACACGCTACTGCCTCATTACGGATTCGTCGACACCTACCCACACGAGCTATGGTTCTGATACAACGATTGTCGAACACCTGAAGACGTCTCAGTTCCGCTGCTCGAATAGACCAAGTCTCACAGCCATACAACAAAACAGCCCGTACTGTAGCTTGATACACACGTCCCTTGAAATTCCGAGATTCCTAGTGACAAATAATTCAGAATGCATACCACTTGTTTTTGATACTGTCAGCCATCGATGCCAAAGCTTGTTGTTCCTCTTTTTCACGCGGTTATTCTGCACACATTCCATGCGGATGGAAGCCACTTCTAGTTCCTTAAGTCCATCGCTGGGCAGAGACTGAGAAGGAAGCAAGAAAGTGCGCGTGATCGCTGCTTGCGTTCTCGTTAAGTCCGCAGGTAAGCTGGTTGCACAAGAATGTGTCACCGCAATCGTCCTCACTTTGAACGTAGTGGACAATGTTAGGCGGAAATCCGCACCAATACCGCTCGCAGTTTGGCGCTGCCCCAACCCCACACTCAGTTGGCCAAAAGATCGGGCCACTTGCTAGTCCCACGACGGAAGTCTGGGCCCACCAACCAGTATCTTCCGAATGCCAGTTACCAATGGCGCGTCCAGAAGGCGTCAGAATTTCCAGAATGTTGTCGTTGCGTGCGCTGTATAAACGTGCGTTTTGGACCTGGTTTCAGGTGTTATTACACGTTGTGCACTTTTGGTAGCTGTTTTGACGGGAACGTTAGCTTGGGTGGTTCAGGCTGAGAGCTAAGCTTAGGAAATACGGTTGGTACAAATAACATCTCTGATACTTGTGCTGTACGGACATGCATTGACGTGACTGGCGCAGACAATGTGTTCGAACCACGTACCTTCCAGTCAGTAAATTCGCCGCTTGTCTCGCCCCCGATACTTGTGCTGTACGGACATGCATTGACGTGACTGGCGCAGACAATGTGTTCGAACCACGTACCTTCCAGTCAGTAAATTCGCCGCTTGGGCCATCTCGCCCCCATCCACTCAGTAAAGCTACTGCCAATCAGTTAGCTTACCCAGCAATCAAATATCGTTGTCTTTTTGCTAGAAAATGACAACTGTGTAAGAAACCATTTTCTAGGAAGCTACAAGATCGCGCTCTTCTTAAAAGCAGTCCCCTTAAAGGAACGCACATCTCACAATGTGAACAAACTCCCGAAGAGGAAATTTCACTCTATCCATCCAAAAACTATCCTGGAGTTCCGTTGAGTTCAAGTAATTGCCTACAAACCATGCATCTTGGTTCCAGCTACCAGTAAAAGGAAGGCTTTCGCTACGGAGATGTTTATTAGAAACCGCCAAGTAAACAGTTACAGACTGTTGGACAGGGAAGCAAAACTCTCATGCATCTTGCTTACAAAAACTGAATATCTATCTGCTTGAACGCGTCTTCCTGAACTTTTCTTGATATTTAATGACTGTTTCTCAAATGCAAGCAAACTCGACTCTGCGAATTCCGTAATAGATCTCACTTTTCAAGGGACGCGAAGCAGATTTACGATAAAATATACTACTCGCACGCCTCGTCAGTATTATCCACCGTTACACTAGAACTACAGCCACCAAAAATGGGAGTTCAGGCGAGTATCGCCAGCCATTAGAGACGATGTCATAGTCAGTTAGTAGATGCTGAAAATTGACGGAAACTCAAAAACTGCGCCCATTTGTTGGGTTCCAAAGAGAACGAAGCCAGTCCTGAGCTGTCAAAAAATTTTCAGCAACTTTGTGAGCAAAGTGTTCTGTCAAGAAAATCTCCAGGAAGGGAGCTAGAACTGAATTAAATTACGACACAAGGCCACGGGTCGGAAGATCTGCGTTTCGAACTCGACCCCGACTTTTCGACTGATCCTGTCTGGGTTTGGGTAACAAGGTGGTATTTATGTCCTCGTGGTTCCTTCAAGTTGCGCGATAACTATGCATTAAAGGGATGTTACGGCCAAAAGATTGTTATCTTCGATTATTATAATTCAAGTTCACGCAAACCGGTTGAGGTTGACAGAATGCTGAAACAAAGCCTTGCTACTACTACGTTATGTAACGACAATGGTAGAGATGTCACGAAAAAATCGCGGGGAAGGTAGGTAAAATCGACAAGAGCCTTTGGGTGACTTTCCAGTCCAAATCATCAGCTTCGAATTATCCGAGAAAATGTCGAAATTTAGTGTTGTTCTCTTGTATTACATCACCTTCGAAAAGGTATCAGGCAGAGCATGTACCGCAGCGAAACCCACTGCACCTATACCACTGACTTCAGCTGAAAAAAACAGTTGGATGGCTGTATCGATTCAATTTATTAATATATACATTTATTTATAGCCTGCTTTCTAATAGGAATGTATAGAATACGGACTGGCGATAGGTCGGAAGTAGTCTGCAGGACAATGGCATACCAGGTTACAACAGCTAATATCCCGTAACACATCTTCCTCCAGCCCGATGACATAATTCTCCGGTTCGAAAGTGTCCGATATAGACTCCGTGGTTGGAACAAGCCAGGTTAGAACACAACAGCTGTCTCCAGTATGATCCACAGCCAGGCCTGGAACGCAAAAATGGATGAAGAACCGAAAACTTTGCTTACCTCGAATTTGGGCATAGTAACTCTCGTTAGACACATCGACTATTGAGACTATATCGCCCACATTAAACCGTGTACCCTAGGCAGTCATACAGAAAAACACTGAGACATTATGAACCGAGCTACTTTGTGAATCACGCTCTGCTCCAGTCGAATAAGCGGGGATGCTGGGGACAGTTTGGTTGGCTAAACAGGACAAAAGTTCCGATAAAGGCAATGTGAATGAATGGCTTACATTCTTTTTCAATAAATGCTTCCGAGAACGTGTTTTAGCCACCGGATTTTTCCCGGAGTTTGACCCATGTGTTTTGTGGCTTTTCAACGTGCCGGTAGCTACACGTGCTCGAAGTGACTTCCTCAAACCGGCGACTGGTGATAATGGCTTGGCAGTGCCTTCAGTATGGTGGTCTGGCATAGGTTCTTCTTCGCTAGAATAGATTAAAATACACACGATTGGTCGACGTAAAAATGGAGTGACATGCAGTTCAAAGTAAAAATACATCATACTGGCGTCAGCGAATAAAAGGATGCAGGATGTAATGTAGGCGAATGTCCTTACGATTGCGGCCACAAGATGGAGTGATACGGAACTCAGAAACTTCTTCAATAAAGTACGGCGAAGATAATGACGATTTTTTGCCAGTTTACTGGCAAATTACAATCAAGAATGGCTGAGTACTTAATGCACAACGGCAGGGAAAAAATCAGAAACATTAATAGCGGAAATAACATTGCATCTTTACGAGCCATGCCTAACGAGACAAAGGCATTTGGAGCAACCATATGCTCTTGCTATCCTTCTACTGTTTTTCGGCAGTATCGTTTTGGCCAGCACTAAGCCCCCATACCACCCAATCACTTCTCTTCTTTTCACTCCAAGGCTTTAAGTAGAACTAGATAAACTTGGTGGTTGTACGGCGGTGAAGCATCTGTCTTTGATAGTGACAGGGGATCATCATGATAAGGGATAATCATAAGGGATCGCTCATCCGAAGCAACGGTAAACTACTAGTCGGTCAGAATGTGCAGCTTTTCGGTTTGACTTTCTCCAACCTATCCTTCCTCAGGGGGAGACAGCACAATTGACAACCCGGGAAAACACCTTATAGCCTCTCTACCCCCACTGCTGAGACAGTACGACTTAATCTCCGCCTGGTGAGAACATTATTCGTAGCAGGGGGAATGGTTGCTTCCTTTCGGTCTACCAAACATAGTTTACACTTGAGGAGCGGAGCTCAAGCCAGTGCGGACCATCACGCACATCTGGCGCCCCCTTCCGGCGCCTAGCTGCCATGCCACCTGAAGATAGCACGATGGCTGGGATACTGCAAGGTTGCCCAAGCCTAGACAGGGGAAGTCGAGTGGCGGAGGTCGGGGTCGAACCACGGACCTTCCGGTCAGTAAATTCGCGCTCTAACAGCTTGGGCCATCTCGTCATCTCGCCATGCAGCTATGAGAACATTCAAACCAGATAACCACGTCCGATGGTATCGATCGGTCGCATCTAAGAAACATTCGCCCCGGGCGAGGTTCGCGAGTAGGTCGTCTGAAAGAAGTAGAAGACACTGACACATGTTGAGCGCAGAGAAGAGACCACGGAAAACGTCCGTACGTAGGCGGATAGTCCCGTTGACACTTTTGACTAGCACAATGGATATGATCAATGCCGAGTAGTTTATGGAACGGAGAGCACCAACTTGCCGCAGTCCATGCGGTTCATAGTCAACAACAGTAGGTGCTGCATAAGCTATTAAGAGTCTTGGTCCGTAAACTGATCCAGGGCTATGGTGAAAAAAATCGCTCAGCTGTAGCACCCTTTCGGTGCCTAGCTGCCATGCCACCTGAAGGTTGCACGAGCGCAGGGATACTGCAAGGTTGCCCGAGCCTAGACAGCGGAAGTCGAGAGGCATAGGTCGGGTTCGAACCACGGACCTTCCGGTCAGTGAATTCGCGCTCTAACCACTGAGCCATCTCGCCCCCAGACGGAACTGAACGCCGCTAACGTAGCTCTGTCGTGATTCATCCACGCCCTCACTACTGCTGTATTATCCGTTCAATTCAGAGTTGTTGAACTAGTTCAGAACAATACTGCTGAGCTATGGTAGTTCTTCAAAAAAGGTGGATTGGCATTCTTATTGCTGACGGACCTGAAGGGAAGCGAATTGTCAGGCGTGCACGTATCATGGAGTGATCGGAATCCAGCTGTGTGCCCGAGGAGGAACGGTAGTCTTCTATTGTGGCCCTACACCGGATCTCCGCTGTCTGTGCGACGAGCATCGACTCCGAATCGACCACCCAGATGTGAGTTCAAAAGGCTCAGACGACAGACTTAGGCATTCATATCACCCGCAAGGACAACAATGTCAGTGCTTCTTGGCCGACGAAAGAGCCCGGGTAACTCTATAGAAAATTAGGAGTACTGTCCATTGGAGCATAAGCGATTTCCCCTGTTCCGTAAATTGGCACAGCAAAGAAAGTCTGCGATCAGCACACATCTGAAGAAGGCGAATTCCGTTGTCTCGCATCAAACCCAAGACGAGCACCAAATTGGGCCTCAGGGGCACTTGGTCCACCTACCTGGGCGTTCGTGTCGCCACCAGCCACAACTATGTCTGAGCTGCCAGCCCGTTGTAAAAGAGAACCTAAAGCATCATAGAAACTGTCGTTGGCAGATTCGGGGCTCGTTGGTGCACGAGCAGACATAAAAAAACGGTGCAATTTATCTCACATTCTCGAGATCCTCTCGCAGATCTTGCGAAACGAACCTCGCAAAGGCGACTATCAACGGGTTTCCGCTCAGTCGCTCAATACAATATCCGCGTTGGCATATCCAGCTGCATCGGCCTCTACAGCTGGCCAGCAGCCGGAAACTTAAGGAGAGCGAGAGGGCAGTAAGTACAGTTACAGTACCTGAGTCCGGTGTCCTTGTTTCTGACAGACAGCATAGATCAATACAGAGACGATCCAGCGAAAGATTAAGAGCCACTTGTTATACTGCTTGCTTCAGCGTGCGAAGGTTAAAGGCAGCTCATTAGGCCGGACTTCGGGGTTTGAACGTACGAGCATATTGTCTTGCTGAACAGTAGTGCAACTGTGCATCGGTTCCTTGGCTTCCTGCTCCGCCCACTATGGTATATCAAAAAGCAAGGTAGTTCTACATAGCCCATCATGGAGAATTATTACGACTGTAGTCACAGAGTGTTCACAGGGTCGCGCCTGAAACTCCGTGAGGGGGCGAGAAGCGTCGAGCGAAAGGTTCTAGACTCGGATTGGCTGGCATTCTGGCCAATCAAGGCGTGCCTTCGTTTGATCCGTGCCCTGCACGTGACACATCTGACCAAACGATATGCTGTTCGGTTATTAGAAACGGCTGGCCTTCAGAAGACTTCAAAGTGTTCAGAGCTCTTCCTGAAGTCAGACATACAGAAGCTGTAGTTGAGTGTGTGTAGTGGTCTGGCTACCCAATAAATTTCTTTACCAGGAGTGTGTAGCAAAGAAATAAAAATAACGCTAGATTGAGTATACAAAAACAGAGGTCAAATGGAACAGACTCGCTAATAATTGTTCTCTTTAAAATAGTTCGTCGTTGGCCCAGGTTAGCAAATAAGCAATAATCCGATCATGGGTCTTCTGAACATTTCCCGAAGACGATCTGAAATGTTTTGCTGCAATAGTTAGCACATGAGACTCACGAATGACCGCTTCGGGCGCTAGTTAAATCAGAAGGGGGAGTCAAAGCACGTGCCCACCTTTGTATTGCATGAAGATGTACAAGTGCGCTGTTTTCGGTTTTTCGTATTCGAACAAAAACTGTTATGCAGTTGTCATGCGTTGCCTCCGAGGCAACTGGACCAACTACCAATCAAGAACCGCAAGTGGATAAGGCCAAAAGGGTACCAGTGCGACTCCCCCCCCCCCTTTCCCGGTATATCGATCTTGAGCTCTGATATGCTTTCCGACCACAGTGATCCATCACCAGAAACCGTTGACATCGACGCTCAAACTATGACACTGGCGTTTTGCGTGTATTCCGCGAGCAACTACATGCGTCAAGTTTAATGTTACCAGCCCGGGGGCGATTGTCATCACACAGAAAATGAAGATTCGGTGATCATTGCTGCCATCAAAAAATTCCATAAAATGTCATACGGCAGTCAGTTCACCTTACAGACAGGTTGCTAGCCATTCCTTGTTGCATTTTTGCTCAAAGAAGGAAACTGTGGCGCATACCTCCAACCGCTTCAAACGATGTGCTGCTCCATTTCTTGAATAGAACTCCAAGTTCGAGTACTAGCCCGCCGCCAGCGCACTGTCGCGTATCAGTGAACCAAGCAAACAGGCGACCAATAACCATTCAGCTGTAGAACCCTCCCGATGTCTAGCTACAACCACCACCTGTAGGAGACACTATGGCTGAGATAATGTTCGGTGCCCGAGCCTAGACTGGAGTATTCGAGATGATAAAGCTCGGTTGGATCCACGGACATTCCAGCCAGTAAGTTCGCTTTTCAACCAATGAGCTCTCTCGATCTCTTAATTCAAGCGGGCTAGGAGCGAAAGACGTAGTAGTCTAAATAGGGTGGAAGCTGAGTTGCTCAGTGTCGGGAGCAATCCGCACCCTGTTAGTGACTGCTGGTGTGGACCGCCTGCCTACTGACCAAGTGACGACTGTTGCCAGCTGGTGGTTGGCTAGTTTACTGGACTTGCCGTCAGTTCAAGGGAGCTAAAGTCAACCATACGCAAAGTCTAACAGATGGAACCCGGAAGTGGACCGAATGAAGGCCGCTGCTCGGAATTACGTCTAGTGTCCTTGGAGGGACTCCCAGATTAAGCAGACCCACAAAATCTTGCTTGCTTTACGTAAGTAGCTGCATTGACTTCCGCAAATACTATGCTGGACAAACAGGACTGAAGCTATCTATCTACACGAACAAAAGTACACACCACAGCTATCAGAAGGCATGATCTACTCTCCATGGTTCCAATACACGAAGATCTAGAAGTACACAGATTCAGTGTAGTAAAAACTTAGAGATCTTGCAATGGCACTCCATCTGGAACTGGATCTACCGACATTCAGAAATCGATCCGATCTACGTGCTACTACGAATGAAGGATTACCAACTTGATGGAGCAACTTGAAAGGAACGGATGGATAAGGTGATAACTATGGTAACTGGCATCAGCAAGTCTAATGTCACGTGGAATGAGTCAAACTCAAAAGCCGTCCAGATGCCGATCTTCACGGAATTGTACAAACCCTCAAACACTGCGTTGTTTTAGATCTTTCAGAGATGCGGTTCGCAGTTTTACTGACTAGCTTAAGGCTGCTTACGAATTAATTTACATTTCTGTGATTTTGACTCCATTAGTAGTTTGTCCTACTCGGGCTTCGTTTGAGACCAATGCCCCATCTAGTGTTTTTAGAGGCTGATGT